AAAGAAAAAACTTAATAATAATGATAATAATGATGACGATGATAAAAATTGACATTTTTAGGTTTTAAATAAAAAAATTTTTTGAATTAAAATTATAATTCAGAGGTTGTCGTAGCAGCAGGTTGTCTTCATGGGTGGTGTCAGGTCATAGTCGACAAACGATTTAGGCAGCGTAAAAGTTTTAAAAAAAAAAGTTGATTCGATTTTTAACATTTTCAAATGATTCTCCATTTTGTAAACGTGACGTCATTTTTTCTTTTTTTTTTTTTCGATCTGTTCGTTCGTTCGTTCGTTCGTGCGTTCGAATTTAGAAACTTTTCGGACGTCTTCAAATATTGAAAAAAATCAGATGAAATAAAAAAGAGAGTTGGTTGGATGTTTTTTAAAAAAAAAAAAAAAAAGAAAAAATGAAAAATGAAAAAGGAAAACGAAGGGTTTGTTGCACCAGTCAGCACTAGGGTCTAAATACACGTCTAACAATATTCTAAGACGTTTGAAAATAAAATATGATCTTGGGGAGGAGGAGGAGCAGGGGGAGTAAGAGGTTGAGGCAAATAAAAAATACGACAGAGAGAAATCGCGTTTGATATCCATCAACAACTCTTTTCCAGATTGTTTTTGTCATTTGCATTTTTTTTTATATTTTTACGCTTTTTTTTTATTTATTTTTCCCTTATTACCTTTTTCTTTTCCTCCCCGATCCGACAATCTCCTCCCAGTTTACTCGATCTTTGTATCCTCTTTTTATTTTCGCTTCCCTTCCCCTCACCCGTCGTCTTAGACTTTATTATTTTTATTATTTATTTATTTTTGTTCTGTGTTTGTTTTATAGTTTTAAAAAAAAAAAGATTTTTTTTTTCTTTCTGCTGTTTTTATCACCGTCGCTGTTGCTTTTGTCTCTCTCTTTCTCTTTCTTTGAATGAATTCGTAGCGAGCGAAAATCGTTTATTGATTTTCTTTATTTTTTTTCCTTTTAATATGAAAACTAAAGGAAGTAAGTAAGAATTTCTTTAAGGAATCCCATATAATTCATTGGTTACAAGACAATTCAAAGTCATTCATTAAAATCCTTTACGCTAAGCCTCTCCACGGCTTCTCTTCCATTTCGAAAAGAAAGATTTTACTTAACGATTAAAACCATTTTCGACCCCGTGGCAGTTGCAACTGTAAATTACATTTAAGTCTTATTTATTGAATAAGAGAAGAGAGGAGGGAAGGGGAGAGGAAGGGAAGAAAAGGATAGGAGGGGTGTAAGTTAATTATTTCATCACTTAAATCAAATTCTATTAACCCTAATGGCAACAACGAACGATAATTATTATTTGACGAAATAAATAAAATTTTTCCAAAAAAAAAAAAGACATTTTTGCGCGTAGTAGTTTCGAATTTATTTTTAAAAAAAAAAAAACCTTTTTTCGCGTAATTTTTTCCGTTCGATTTATTATTTGTAATTTTTCGTTCGATATTTTAAAATTTTTACCCCTTTTTTCTTTGTTTTCGGATCTCTCTCTCTCTCTCTTTCCACCCTAACACATATACACATTATCTCTCTCTATCTCTTTTTATCTTTTGCATTTTAACCCTCGTAGTTTTTGTTTTCTTTCTCAATCTGGCTTTTTGTTGAGAGATCGTAAATATAATTAGATTCATCTGTAAAAAAAATTCTTATCGAATTCTCTTCCTTTCTTTTTTTGTTTCCTTTTATTTAGTCACGTTTGTTGAAAAATTTCTTTTCTTTTTTTCTTTTGGGTGATAATAAACGCATAAAGACAAACATAAACTTTTTATTTTATGGATTCGAATAATCCTTTTTTTTTCAAATTCTTTTATTATTATTATTATTAATTTTTACCGGTTGGAAAGCAAATATTTTAGTCAAATTATTTAAAAAAAAGAAATGTTTAATTTTTTTTTTTTTTTGGGTATTGTTTGTTTGTGTTTGCGTCGTTTGTTTGTTTTTTTATTGTTGTAATAATTCGATTGTATTGCGTGGGCGATTATCGTTTAATTATCGAAAAAAAAAAAAAAATTTTTTTTCTTATTAATCCATTGGAATTTTTATTCCGAGTGTAAATGAGGAGGATTATACAGGTTTTTAAAAGTAACAAACAACAACAAAAACGACGACGTATAAATAATTTTTAATTAAAATTTTGTTTTTCTATCTATATGTATATGTATAATTTAAATAATTGTAAATTCGTTTAATAAAGTATTCCACGCAATAAATTTTTTTTTTTTGGGGAGGCCCGTCCCCGAACACGAAATGAAGACACCAAACGCAGCTAAAAATAAAAAGTTACGTGATATGAATGTGTTTGTTTGAAATAAATTTTTTTTTCCTCTTCTTCTTTTTTCTTTCTTCTTCTTTGTACGACAAGAATGGTTTATAAATAAGTGAAAAAAATTCACTGACAATTCGGATTGCCTCCGTCGGATTGTTCTACGATGTTCGATGATGATTTCGGCCGTTATTTTGTGTTTTCACAAGACAGTCTGGCGACGAATAAAGGCTCTCTCATTGATCGTAAATGATCTGATGGTGGTGGTGGTGGTTGTCGAGGCAAAAATGAATTAAATCGAAAGAAAAAAAATTCGAATTCATGAAACGAATTCATTTAAAAAGAATCCCCTTAATAATTGTGGATTAAAATAAAAATTTTAAATGAAAAATTGGGTGTTGATTTTTTTTTAAAGACGAACCGTATTGAATATCATGCACTTGGAATTTTTTTTTAAAATGGGGAGCTAGGGCAAACGTGCAAAAAGGAAAAAAAAAAACTTTTTTAGATTTTCGTTTGTTCGTTTGTTTGTGTTTGTGTGTTTTTTTTTAAAAGGAAAGTTGTTTTGTTTATACGTACTTGTTTTTTTTTTTTTTTTTTTTTTTCATTCCCCCGAAGCTTCTTATTTTGTATTCGGGAGTTGAAAAATGTGGTGTGTTGCCTTAAGAAAAAAAAATTACTTTGTCTCACGCTTTTAGGGAGAGAAGGGGATATGAATTGACCCGGTGGAAAGAAAGAAAAAAGGAAGAATGGTAAAAAAAAAATGGAAAAAAATCTTTGTCGTTTCTTTTTCTCTCTCCCTTCTTGCAATAAAAAACAAGTGCATTCGTGCTTGACAAGGTTATTGATTAATAGGTATCAAGTTTTTTATTTTTTTTTTTTGTTTTGTTTTTTATTCTTTTTTTTTCGTTTAAAAATTTGATTGGAAATTTATACTATCGTATAAACGGAATACTAATTTCAAATTCCAGATTTTTACATTTTCAATCTGGAATCCAAATCGTTTTTAAGAGCTTAGCAAAAGAGTTTTTTTTTTTTTTTTTGATATCATGCAACAACGTTTGTGTAATCTATTTTAAGGTACTCGAAAAATTTTTTACGAGGAACTCCGCGCGCGCAAAAAAAAAAAGTTAAAAAGTTTCTCTCCTTCCCCCCACCCCCGAGCAACACTCGTAAAATTTTCCACCGAAAAAATGTTTGTTTGTTTTTTTTCTTTCGAGAGCACACTTTCCAGTAATATCCCTTTCCAGTCATTTCTCTCACGCCTTTCTGTTTTTTCTTTTTCCTTTTTCTTTTAGGGTCTTTGATGAAAGAAAAATAATCATTTTTGCTTTCCGTATTTTTTTTTTTTGACGAAAATAAGAAAAAAAAAATAATGTCGAAGCTTTTTTGTTAAAAATGCTTCAAGCCTAAAAAAAAAAAAATTTTCTCCCTCCCTTAACGTCTCAATCAAAAAAAAAAAAAAAATTTCCCGTTCACACTTTTCCGACGGCTCCTTCTCTCAAATTCATAAAATTTAATTTTAATGACGTCATTGTTTTGTAACGGATAAATGTATATGTTTTTGTGTGTTCGATTCGATTCGTCGTTGTCGAAAAACAAATAATTTGCAATAATTTATTTATTTATTTTTAATCAATTTAATTAATTAATTATTTAATCAATCAATGAACGCAATTCAAACAAACAAAAAATAAATAAAAAATTTATTATCATTATCATTATCGGGGTACATTATTCATTCAGAAATAAATTATTTAAAATCCATTAGACCGTATAAATATTACACAAATGGGTAAATAAAAGGTTCAATTAAAATTTGACGGAGAATGAATTTTCGAATTGAAAATAATACAGGTCGCGTATGCTCGAAGGAGAAAACGTTTTCCGGATAAAAAACAAAAGGAAAAAAAAACATTATTATTATTATTATCTATTTTTATTTTGAAACCAATGGCAGGTGTGTGTCTGTGTGTAGGTTTTTTTTTCGTGCTAATTATTCAATTCCTGCAATTAAATCCTTTCCGGGAGGTGGTAAATAATAAAAAATAAAAGAAATAAAAAAATTTAGTGCTACCCGTGACGTAATCATTAATAAAAATAAATATTTTAAATCCGAAGGCGTGAGAATAAATGCCACGTGTCATTAATATTATTATTATTATTATGTCGGTCGTTAAATTTTTTTTGTTTGTTGATATTTTCGCGAATGTCTTACAACCGAACGCGTTTTTTTTTTTTTTCCAATGAATTAAATTAAAGAATGCCCATCATACATAAAAAAAAAAAAATGTTTAAATAAATATTTAAATTTTTTGTTTGTTTGTTTGTTCGGTTTTCAAATGCAAATTAAACGGGCGTACAAAAACGCACGCGTTTACATATGTTCCTCACGTCAGATTCACTATATTTAAATAAAGGTAATTTTTTTTTTTTTTTTTTTTTTTTTTTTTTTACCTGACACAATGATGAATTGCGGTTTTTTTTATATTTGCATTTGAAAACCTATTAATTCACGGTTGTTCTTGTCCAGGGGACTGTCAAAAAAAAAAAAAAAAAGGTTTCAAGAATTTTCATTTTCTTTTTATTTTTCTTCTTCCTCGTCTTCTTCTTTGACTGATGATCTCAACGTGAAAATTTTTTTTTTTCCAGGCAAACCAGGATAAATTTCCGAGTCGTTTTGCCGAAATCGTCAACGAAATTCACCATTCCAGCAAAATGATAAAAGAAACGAAAAATAATATTAAAGATGTTGAAAAGAAAAATGTCGATTGGAATAGGAAACGTTTTAAAATGAAATGGTTAGCGACGAACGATTGTAAAAATCGTAACGAAAAATTAAAATTGCGAGAAGGAAGTTGGAAATACGATGATGATGAGAACGATGATGGCGATGGCGGCGGTGATGGCGGTGGCGACGACGACGACAACGAAAACGACGACAAAATTTCCAGTCGTTTAAAATCCATAGAAAAAAAAAATTATAATCAATTCGTAGGTGAGAATGATGTGGCGGGAAGCAGTCTCACATGTACAACGGTTGAAAGCGGTCGTGCGAGTTTAACGTCACGATCGACCGATCGATTCGCTCCTAAAATAAACAACAACAACAACAATAGTAACAACAATAACAACAAAAATAACAACAACAACAATTTCAATTATAAATATTACGGATTTTTAGATTCCGGCGATGAAACAAAAAACGATTTGATAACGAATAAGAAAAAGAAAAAAAAAAAAAACGATGCGAACGGAGTCGTGGCGGTAGACGGGAATGAGGAAAACGACGTCGTCGTCGATTTTTTTCACAATAAAAATAATCGATCTCGAAACGATTGTGATTCGATAAATAAATATAAAATGAACGACGGTGTGAAAACGTTGATGACGACAACATCGGAAAAGGAAATCGTGTACGAAAATATAAAAACGGATTCGCGTACGAAAATGTTAACGAATAAAAAAACATCGTCGGATTCGTGTAAAACGTTTAATAAAAACCGTAACGAAATCAATAAGAAACAAAATCACGAACATTTATTAAGCAGAAGATTTTTAGAATGTAATTTAAAATTTGGCGGTAAATTTGGAAATTTCGCGCAACCGGAAACGTCAACGTGGAATTTCAATAGCGTTTACGGCGGTGACAACGTTTACGACAATTACAACGACGGATTTTCTTATTTGGAATCGAAATACGCGTATACCGTGAGCGGGATACCTGGAAATTTGGCACAATCATCCGCGGCAGCTGCTTTCTTCGCAAGGTAAGTAAGACAATCAATTTTCCCTTTTTTTTTACTTTTACATTTTTCTTCCTTTTTTTTTTCTTTTTTCTTTTCTTTCCTTTTTTTTTTTATTAAAATTGGACTCCGATATTAAAAAACGTGAGACGGTTTCTAATAGTTTCATTTTGAAAAAAATGAGTGAAATTTTTAAAATTGTATTGGATTTGAATAAAAAGGAAAAAAGGAAGGAAAAAAAGGAAGGAAAAAAAAAGTGACCGAAAAAAAAAAATTTATGTTACGGTTATATAATTCCATAAGTTTTTTAAAAATGAATTTTGCTTTCCCCTGCTCCCCGCGCCCCTCTTTCCCCCCAAGCGAGTTCCCCTTTTTCGTTTTTATAATAATTAAAAAAAAAGAAAAAAGGAGCGGCGGGGGGGGGGTTCGTAAATTTTTTCGACTTTTTTTTTTTTTTAATTTTCTTATTTTTTTACCTTTTAATTTTAACCTTTGATGTAAATTTTAATAAGAATTTTTTTTTTTTTTTTCGTAAGGAAAATTTTCATTAAAGCTATAAACTATTTTTTTTTTTTTTAATGAAAATTATTTAGAGCTTTTTTTTCTTACACGTTTTTTTTTTAAATTTTTTTCCAACGATAAATTAACGATGAAAAAACAAAAAAAATTCGATTTAAAAAAAAAAAAAATTTTTTTCTTTTTTTGAATCGCCATGCGTTTATGTTCATTATTAATATTATTATTATTATTATTATTAAACCTTTTTGTACGTGAGAGAGTGACGGAAGAGACAGCGTGACGATGTATTTGTGACAAATATTTCGACGCCATTTTTTTTATTTTTTTTATTACGCGTGTTTCATTAATGACAGTCATGCCAAAAATAAATAAAAAAAAAAAAAATTTTTTTTTCACGTTTCAGATCATCTCTTCGTTATTATTATTATCATCATCATCATTATTATTATTTATTTATTTATGTATTCATTTATGTATTTTTTTTTTTACGTTTTACGTTTTTAAGATTTTCTGCGGTTTTCTTATTTCGTTAAAAAAAGGGAAGAAAAAAAATGAAAAATTTACGTTGAGAATATTAAAATTATTACTTTATTTTCTCTCTCTCTCTTATATTTTTCATTTATTACGTTCGGATTTCATGGAAAATTTTATTTTATTTTATTTTATTTATTTTTTCTTTTTTAATAACCCTTGAGAATTTATTTATTTATTTTCATTATTAAATTTTTAATAATGCGAATTTTTTTTTCTTTTTTTCCGGGAAAGTAAAATCAGAAACAAGCAATTATTTATTATGGCAATATGTAAAATAAATTGAACGTCAGTTATTATTATTATTATCATTATTATCGTCGTCGTCGTCGTCGTCGTACTGACTTTTTTCGGTTAATAATGAAATTTAAAAAAAAAAATTTTTTTTCGAAAAATTTTATGAAAATAAAAAAAAAAATTAAAAATTTTGGCCAATTGCCTGAAAGGGTTAAAAAGTTCATTTAGAAAAAAAAAATAAAAAATAAAAAAAAATTTTTTTTTGGTGAGTGCGTGAGTGTGTGCGTGCGCGTGTACGCGTGAAAGCGACGATCAACGTTGTCAATTTTATTATTATTAATATTATTATTATTACGTCAGTGACGTTTACGCAGTAATTTTTATTAAAATTTATGTAACTTAAACAAAACATTAGTTAAATTTAAAACGCGAAAAAAAGTTGCGATAATAATAATAATAATAATAATAATAATAATAATAATAATGATAATAATAATAATGTTAAAGTGTAAAACGGGAAAGTTTTTTTAGTAGGGAGGGGGGAAGGGGGAAGGATGGGATTTCAAAATGTCGGTAATAAAACTCAAAATGTTTTGAGTAATAAAAACAAAATAAAGAAGAAGAAGGAATTAAGAAAGAACATCGGGGAGAGAGAGAGAGAGTGAGACAGGAAAAAAAAAATTCGAATAATTTTTCCGGGTGGGGGGGCGGTTGGAAATCATTTCGATTTTCTAATATGACGTCATCATTTTCCGTTATTTTTTGTTTTATTTTGTCCGGGATTTATTCCAGTTCAAATAAATTTTTTTTGTACCAAATTCAAAATTTTCGATTAGAACAAAAAAGAAGGATAAAAAATCCACGTGCGATTCGTTTTTTTTTTTTTTTTTCATAAACGTGCGTATCCCTCCCTTTAAAAAAATTATTATTATTATTATTATTATTATTATTATTATTATTATTATTATTATTATTATTATTATTTAAATTAACTAATCCGTTAAAAAAAAAAAAAACTTTCAGGTTTATATTTATATATAAAACATTGAATTGCTTTTAAGCTTTCGATTGATTATTACTTGATGTTTTTAAAAGAGTGTTTCGTGGATGAAGTTTTCGACGTGATTTTTCATTCATTCATTCATTTTTTTTCTCTCTTTCTCTCTCCCCGTTTCGCTAAATGATCTAATAAATAAAAAATTCAAAGTTGCCATCACGTAAAAATTGACGGGGAAATATAAAAAAAAAAAAAATTAAAACCCCTTTAAAATAAAATATATCCCAAGATGGATTAGTTAGCGGTGTTAGAACAGGTGTTGAAAAATTTCTTTAAAAAAAAAAAAAAAAAAAAAAAATTACTTCAAAAGATTTTTTTTTTTACAATTATTACTTTTTTTCGTCGTGTTTATTAAAACAAAAAGGACAGCAACAACCAAAACATGTTTTCGATTTTATGTTTTTGTCAAAACAAAAAAAAAAAAAAATTTTTTTAAGATTAATTAACTCGCAAAAAAAAAAGAAACCCGCTAAAATAATTCGATTTCTTTTTTTTTTATTTAAATAATATCAAAAAAAAATTCATTGAGATTCTAATGACACGACTAATTTTTTTTTTAAATTTTATTTCGCTTTAATTAACTCATCAAAAAAAAAAAAACCAAAAAAATTTATATGTCTGCGGCCGAAATAAAATGGAGTGGTAGTAGTAGTAGTAATAAATTTAAAAAAAAAAATTTGTTAGTAATTAAAAAAAAAAAGGATTGAACACTCGACGAAACGCGCGTTAAACGCCAACTAAAACGCGTTAAAACGCGCGTTTCGTCGCTGCCTCTTTTAACCTTAATTTATTACTAAAAAGAAAACATAAATTTATTACTCGTGAAAATAAATTATGTTAAACATAAAAAAAAAATAAAAACAAGATGTTACTTAGAGCGGTTAATGGGATTAATGGGTGCCAGATGTTTCGTACATTAAACATTTAAACAATCAGATAATCAATCAATCAATCAATCAATCAATCAAATCTACCGGTATGAAAATTATTTAATAATAAGTACATCTCTTCGAATTGTATTATTTTCCCATTTACCTGCTCTGTTTGCGTCGTGTAAAAACAATCGTGTTATTATTATTCTCGCGTTAATTTACTTTTATTATAAAATTTTTAAAAAATTTTCCTCGTTGAATCCGCTCCCAAATAATTTTTAGGAAAAGAAATTTTTTTTTTCTTTCTTGCATAAAACGTGAATAAAAAAAAATAATAATAATAAAAAGGTTTATAAAATTATAAAATGTGTGACGTAACGACTACAACGACGACTACTACGACGACTTTGCATTAATAATAATAATAATAATAATAATAATATGCTTTAAAAATGGTTATTTGTTTGCCCAGGAGATATTTAATGGTAAACCAACCAATTTGTGAAAGCGTTATGGGATTAATTGATTTTAATATCGTTGTTTGAAAAAAAAAAAAAAAAAATAAGAAGAAGTGCGACATTTTTTTTTTTTTTTAAAGTCATTCCAGTCGTTTTAAAAATTTGTTTTTGGGGAGGAAGCGGCATGCGGGGAGTGGAGGGGAGGGGGGTTTAATCTGGATAAAAATGAAAAAAAACTTGGAAAAAACTTGGTTGGCAACGCCAACGCGATAGATTTATAAGTAGTGAAAAAGATTTTAATGAGGTTTAAAACCGCACGCGCGCGTTTTTTTAAATATTTTTTTTTTTTTTTTTTACGCGTTAAATAAATAAAAAATAAATTTTTCGCCTCATTTGCGGTTGTTTATTATCATTATTATCATTATTATTATTATTATTGTTGTTGTTGTTATTTTCATTCATTTCTTTTTTGTTTTTGTTTTTTTTGGAAAACGAAATTTTTTTTTTTTTTTAACGGAATTTTTTTGGGAATGGGTGGGACAATTCAAACAATGATAAATGATTTAAATGACGTCACAACGAGAATTATTTAACAAAAAAAGTAAATAAATCAGAATTCATTTTATTTGAAATATTTTTGGCGCGAAAAAAAAGCTTTAAAGTTCAACAAGTGATGATAAATCGATGATAGTCATCGATGATTACATTTGTTAAACGTCGTTCGTTAAAACTTTAATTTTTTTTTTTTTTTAAATTCCAGTCATTGGAATTTATTCCAGAAACCTGGAGTGAGAGAGAGAGACAGAGAGAGAAAAAAAACAAAATTTCAATCTAGCATATCAAAACTCGACATTCCATGTTTAATTTTCATTTTTCGTTTCATGTTTTTTATGTTTTTTTATGTTTTTGTTATAAATTTTTTTTTTTTTTTAATTATGTTTTCTAATCATGTTTATAGTCACGTGATACATTTTTTTTTGACGTTTAACGTTTTAATTTGTTTACCACCTTTGTGGTGATTCTTTTTCTTTTTTACCTGAGAATTTCTTTTGTTTTTTTTTAACGATTCACATGTAAAATAAACCATCAGTTGGGTTTATTATTATTATTATTATTATTATTATTACTAATTATTACCGCTTAAAGGTAAAGTAATTATAAACGACGACGACGATAATGATGATGATAGTTTTTTTTTTTCGACTCTCTCTAATTAGTTCAAATTTTATTTACTTATTCATTATTATTTTTTTTTTAACGAAGATGTAAATTTTTTTTTTTTTTCCCAACGTTGAAATTAAATTTTTTTTTTAATACTTTAACTCAGGCGGTCGGTCAGGAGCGTAATAAGAAT